GAGAGTATTGTATTTATAAATACATATGAATTAATCATAATATCAGTTAATGTCAGTTAAATTATGATATAATAAATTAATAAGAACAAAGAAAATATCATTACAAACAATATATTTTGTTCAATGTTATAATTAATCTTATTGTTATAATTTAATAGTATCAATAATTGAAATTATTTCAGTTAATATAATAAAATATAAATATATCTTACAATTAATAATATTAAATAAGAATTACCATTTTGATTCTTATTCATCATCAATATATTGAACTAAAACATTATTCAATTATTATTTCTATTAAATAGTTTCAATTAACCATATTAATTATTTTTGATTATCTAAAAAATAATAATTCCAATTAATCCTAGAATTTTATAACTATTTTAAATTTCATTCAATATAATTATATCTATATTTTTATATTAATATCTTACTTATTATTTTTACTTTTTAATAAACAACAAATTCATAGATATAAATCATAATTTAATTTTAGATAATGGATTAATAATTTCATAACCAACATTAATAAAAGTACTTCTTCTAAATCAATTCACGATAATTATATAATAAAAATGAATAATATAATCAAATGAAATCAACTAAACTATTTAAATTTAACTTCAACAATAAATATATTAATATTGGTAATAATTATAATTATGCAAATTGAATAAATATAATATTTTAGCATAAAACCAAAAATATAATCTATCATTTATTATTTCGTATAAAGTTAAATATATGAATAAAAAGAGTATTTTGATGAGTCTGAAAATCAATAAAAATAAATGAAATTTATCAAAAATCAAATGAAATAAATAATATTCAAAATAACATAAACAATAAACATTTAATATTATAAAACATTAATATTAATATCAATATTAAAATGAAAAATAATAAAGTATGAAATGAATTTCATTAATATTTCTAAAGTATTTAATTATTTAATTATTATTCATTAATCTAATATATACATTTAATATATTTTTAATATCTTTATTATACAATTAATATTGTTAATAAACTTATTACTGTCTTACTATTTTCAATTAATGAATGATTTTATTAATACATTTAAATAAAATTAAATGTATTACAATTATATCATATTCATATATATTCTATTCATTATTGAATATTATCATTTGATGATTCATTAAGTTAACATAACAATTTGAATATTCATTATTGTTATAAATGAAAATTTAACAAATGAGTATTAATGAATTTAACAAATTATTTTAATTAAAATACTTTTATTTTATTATTCTTTATTATATTTTTTATTATTTTATTTATTAACCAAATGATTTTAATTAATTACTTTTCTTATTATTTGTACATATTCTTTTCTTCTTTATTTAATCAACTTCTTCAATCCTTGGTCCTTTATTTTCTTTTTCTGTGCTTCTAGTTCCTGTAAATCCTCTTCCTCCTTGAGTTATTTTTGAATAAATCTCTCCAATTTCTTTTTCAACTTCTTCCTTTTTCTTCTCATATTCTTCTTTACTTCCATTTTGATTGTTATCAACCCATTTTAAATTCTTTTCTATTATTTCTTCTGCTTTCTTCTTATCTTCTTCACTTATTTTATCTCCCATTTCTTTAATACTATTCTTCATTGAATAACACATATTTTCTATTTGATTCTTTGCTTCAATTCGTGCCTTATTCTCTTCATCTTCTGCTTTATATTTCTCTGCTTCTCTTATCATTTTATCAATATCTTCTTTACTTAATCTTCCTTTGTCATTTGTAATAGTAATTTTATTCTTCTTTCCACTACTTTTATCTTCTGCTGTTACATTTAATATTCCATTTGCATCAATGTCAAATGTAACTTCGATTTGTGGTACTCCTCGTGGTGCTGGTGCTATTCCTGTTAACTCAAATCTTCCAAGTAAATTACAATGTTTTGTCATTGATGCTTCTCCTTCAAATACTTGAATTAATACTTCTGCTTGATTATCTGCATATGTAGAAAATATTTCGGATTTCTTTGCTGGAATTGTTGAATTTCTAGGAATTAATGCTGTCATAACTCCTCCTGCTGTTTCTATTCCAAGTGTAAGTGGTGCAACATCAAGTAATAACACATCTTCTGTTGCTTTCCCTCCGGTTCCTGTTAATATAGCTGCTTGTACTGCTGCTCCATACGCAACTGCTTCATCTGGATTAATACTTTTATTTGGTTCTTTCCCCATTGAAAAATTCTTTTAATATCTCAACGACTTTTGGAATTCTTGTACTTCCTCCTATCAATACTACTTCATCAATACTACTTTTATCTATTTTAGCATCTTCTAATACTCTTGAAACTGGTCCAATAGTTGATTTAAATAAATCAATGTTGATTTCTTCAAATCTAGCTCGTGTAATAGATGTATAAAAATCAATTCCTTCATATAATTGATCAACTTCAATATTAGCAACACTTGCACTTGATAATGTTCTTTTTGCTCTTTCACATGCCGTTCTTAATCTTCTAACAGCTCGTGCATTCCCACTAATATCTTTCTTATATTTTCTTTCAAACTCACCAATAAAATATTTAACAAGTCGATTATCAAAATCTTCTCCTCCAAGATGTGTATCTCCATTAGTTGCTTTAACTTCAAACACTCCTTCTTCAATTGCAAGAACTGATACATCAAATGTTCCTCCTCCAAGATCAAATATCAATACTTTCTTCTCTCCTGAACTTTTTTTATCAAGTCCATATGCAATAGCTGCTGCCGTAGGTTCATTAATAATTCTCATCACATTCATTCCTGCAATTGTTCCTGCATCTTTAGTAGCTTGTCTTTGAGAATCATTGAAATA